AATGTGTACCTATGGGGAAAAGAAGGTGAATTGAGGTCTGAGGGGACAGTTCTCAAAGTCCATATGTTGGAGTTATATATTATTAATTTAGCTTAATGATAAGGTGACTTAAACATCAGTAACAGAGTTATCTTTTTAGGCCTGTGTGAGACGGCTTCAACAAGAACTGACTGACACCCGAAAGAAAGTGTCCATGTTGGAAGCTTCCCTGGAGGTGACAACAGCACATCATCAGACTGATATAGAAAATAAGACACAGGATTTAGAGAGGAAATTAAATCAAATTGCAGACCAAGTATGTATGAAATTAAGCACGTCAGCCGTGAATGTGCAGTGCAGAGTGTTGTAGGACACTAGCTGTTCAGGGACAGCTTTCTTTTGCATCTTCATTATAATTACAGCTTTATTATCTTTATGATGCCCTTGTTTCTTAAACTTTGACTCTCATTCTGCCATTTCTTTATATATTTTTTTCTTACAATATTTACCCTTAGAGAAGTTGAAAATTATACATCTTTCCTCACAGAAGTTAACTTTTATCCTATTAAACAGTATTTTTTTAGTGATCTCTCACCACAGTGAGGCAAGCTAGATAAAATCAGAGGATAATGTTTCATGACATGGTCCAGAAAACTGGCATGTCTCCTCCTCACTTTTGTGAATGGATATAGAATCTGTGTGTATTGATTACATGGATTTCAGGATAACTTGTGCAGAAAAGTCATTATACAAACCAGTTGCAATTAGGCATTGCCTTAATTTCCTTTTCACTTTAGAAGTGTTGTAAAAGCATGGAGAAATTCAGATAGTGTAGGTACACCCAAAATAGAGAATTAAGAAAATGGTCTAGATCCTGCCTTTGGATTTTTTTTTAACTTTATGGAGATATAATTCACATATTATAGGGAGGACTGCATAACTCAAGTGGCAGAGCGCATCCTAAGCATACACAAGGTCCTGGGTTCAATCCCCTGTGCCTCCTCTCAGAATAAGTAAGTAAAACCTAATTACTTCCCCCAACCAAAAAAAAATTACACATATCATAGAATTCACCCATTTAGGATGCATAGTTAGTATCTCCTTGATTATTCAGAGGTGTGCAATTGTCACCACAATCAATTATAGAACATTCCCATCACCCCAAAAAGAAAGCCTGCATCCCTTAGCCATCACCCCCAGCCCACCATCTCCCTCAGCCCCCAGCAACCACCAGTCTGATTTCTCTCTCTATAGATGTGCCTGTTCTGGGTGTTTCACATGAATCACATGCTGTGGGTCCTTCATGATTAGCTTTTTTCATTTGACATAACATCATCAAGGTTCATCCATGTCATTGTGCTTGTCAGTATTTCCATTTCTGTTTATTGTTGAACATTACTTGGTTGTGGGGCTAAACCATTTATCCACCCATCAGTTGATGGACCTTTAGGTTGCCTCTGCTTTTTAGCTATTGTTAATAATGCGGCTGTGAACATTTCTGTCCAAGTTTTGGTGTAAACATGTTTTCATTTCTTTGGGGAATAGACTTAAGAATGGAAATGCAGTCATATGGGTCATATGGTGACTCTGTTTAACCTTTTGAGGAACTGCCATATGTTTTCCAGAGTGGCTGCACCATTTAACATTTTTATCCAAAGTATATCATTCTCCCAATTTCTATGCATTCCTGTCAATGCTGGTCATTAGCTCTCCTGGTAAGTGTGAGTTGTCATCCCCTTGTGGTTTGATTTGAATTTTTCGGATGACTAAGAATGTTGGGGGTCTTTTCATGTGCTTATCCATTTGTGAATCTTCTTTGAAGACCTGTCTGTTCAGGTTTTTGCCTAGTTTAAAGTTGGATTGTCTTTTATGATTGAATTCTAAGAGTTTTTTTGCATCCCAGGTGCAAATCTTATATCAGATGTAGGATTTTCAAGTGCCGCCTCCTAGTCAGGAGCTTGCCTTTTCACCATTTGACAGTGTCTTTTGAAGCATAGAAGTTTTTAATATTGGTGAAATTCAGTTAATCTATTTCTGTCTTTTACTGTCCTATCTAAGAAACAATTGCCAGACCCAGGCACGAAGTCACACACCTGTGTTGTCTTCTAAGAATTTTGTAGTTTTAGCTCTTTCATTTTCAGTTAATTCTTATCTATAGTATGAGGTAGAGGTCGAATTTTGTTCTTTTGCATGTGGATATCCAGTTGTCCCACACCATTTGTTAAAAAGACTATTATTGTCTCATTCAGTTACTTGACACTCGTATCGAAAATCAAATGACCATAAATGTGAGGGTTTATTTTAGATTCTCAGTGGTGATGCATTGATCTATGTCTGTACTATGCCAGTATCAAGTCAGATGTTATGAGAACTCTTTCCGAGTCATCTTGCACATTGCCAGTTGTTTTACATAAAAATAGAAAGTCAGTGTAGAGGAATGTCTGTACCTCTACTTCTGTGGAGATTTGCTGCTTCCTGAAGGAGCGTGTGGCCAGCTTATGCCTTGCTGACTCTGTGACATGACAGAAAGGAGGCTTGCAAAGATAAAGTCCATTCCTTCCCCCCGACACCCCATTCAGACCTTTAGTTTCTCACCCAGTACCTCCCACTTCACTCTAGTTTCTATCAAATCATTGTCATGGGATCTGCTGATTCAGTCTGAAATATACTTCATTATGTTGCACTCATTATAATTCACAGACTTATCCATAGATTTCACTATCTAGAAGCAAAAGGTTAAGCCTGGAAAAGATGAATTCATCTTTGGAAGCCTCTCTAACCCATTATCTTGTGGTTCACAATGAAATCCTCTTTTGGCTTCATTCTTGTGTGTAATGCTGGTGCTGACCCTGCTCTTGATGTAGATCCTGCATTCTCAGCTCCCTGTGTCTACCTCCTTTTACTTAAAAAGAGAGATGCCTAGCTGTATTCTATAGCTTAGTGCATAATTAAATATTTCATCCCATCCAAGGAAAAATTTTGAAGAGTACAACTGTTAAAAATCAGATAATATTCAGTTTATCAGAAACAGATAACAGATTAGTAATTTGAATTTCAAAAGTTCAAAGCCAATCTGTGTGATATGGAGAAGCATTGTGCTACAGCATAAAGGTGAGACAGTCTTACCTTCCCTTACAAACAAGCTTTAAGTAAGGTAAAGGAAAAATTGTATTTAATTTAAATACCGCCAAAGGACACTACATTTGTTTTACTACTGAGAAGATTATAAATGGTTCCATAATATTTTATTTTCTCTCTGAGGAAAGGAAAATGAAGAGTGAGTGCTAGATTAGTAAGTTCTCATGGCTGCCTGTCTCTTAGAGTTACAGTTAATTGAAATGAGGTAAAATGGCTGATTTCAGTAAACTGACTATTTCCACTTGTTTTTCAATTATTAGTCTTCAAATCCTATGTCTCCTTGCCTACCAGGCTTCCTTATCCTCAAAGTTGAGGGGAAATTGTAAAGAGGCATACATGCCTATTTATAATAAATTGTAATTGAAGGAAACTCTAAAAAATCTTCCTTCTCTCTAGTTCTTGGGTCTTTGTTTAAGTTATCTGCTTCTTCTCATCAGCACTTTGTCTTTAAGGTAATCTCAATGTTTATTACATTACACAGTTGATAGACCAATTTCTACTATATACAAGTTACATTCCTTACTATCTTTTCTCATCCTTTTTTCTGTTTATCTGTTTTAGCCTAACAAACTCCCCAAAGTTCAGTGGCTTAAACAAGCATTTATTTTGTTCACAATCTGCACTTAGGAAAAGTGTGGACAAGATAGCTGGAATCTCTTCCTCTCAGCTTCAGGTGGGGCAGCTCAAAGGTGGGGGGCTGGAAGCACTTGAAGGTTCATCCACTGATGTCTGACAGTTGATGTTGGCAGTTGGCTGCAGCTTTGGTGGGGCAGGCAGTTGGGCCCCCTTCCCTGGAACACCTAAGCTGGCTCTGCGGCCTGAGCTTGCCCACAACATAAGACTGGGTTCCAGGGTTAAGAGGGAGGCAGAAGCTGAAATGCCTTTTCAAACCTAGCCCTGCAGTTCACCCAGTGCCACCTTCACTGTATTGCCTTCATTAGGAGCAAGTCACTTAAGGTTGGCCCATAGTCCACCTTTTTTATGGAATTAATTTTGAAAATTTATGGAGACGTTCAAAAACCAGCATAAACCATTCAAAAACTCACTAGCCACAATGTTTTCTTACTGCTTCCATACGAGAAATACCCTTATCCCTACACAGTTCCCTAGCAGGTCTCGGTCGCTGTGGTGTTAGGCTCAGGCTCCAGTCCAGGCTCTTACTTTACCATCTTCATCAGGTCCAGATGGGGCTGAGGTTCCTGGCTGTGGTTTCTAGAGGACAGCCCCTTGGGTACACTCCTCTCAGTGCTGAGGCTTGAGGATATGGAGACTGGGTATTTACCACCACACAAACTCCCTCACTCACACTTGGAAGATGGGAGGCACACTGGTCCATAGCAGTTCTTAAATGCAGCCTGATGCTTGCTGCTGGCTCTTTGATCAGGACTTAGTCCTAACCCTGGGAGGAATTCTCCTTCACTGCCCTCTCTGAGCTCTTGGTTCTGTCCCTTTCCTGAGCAATGACCTGTGTTTACAGCTGAGTAGTCCTCTCAGGCAAGCTTCTTCCTTGTAGACCTTCTAAGAAAAACCCAAAGACCTCATCTCATTTTGCACTGTCTTGGTCTCCTTCAGTCCAAGCTAGCAGGCAGTATTTTTGCTTGCACAGTTCTCTTTAAAACTTTGAGTCTCCTGTGAGTTTTATTGGGGATCATGCCATTGGAAACGCTACACTCACAGGTCTTTTTGAGATAAGCTCTTCATCTTGGGCTCCCTGTGAAGCTATTGGGGGACCACGCCTTTAAAATTCTTACGTTGTTAAGAACTTTAAAGGAATTTGAGGCAGCACCTAAATCTTTCCAAGGTCTTAACAAAGTCTTGGCTTCATCTTTAGACTGTGCTTTCCTGGCAGCACCCTAGAATTGATCTTAGCCTAGAAACCATTTCTCTGTTTACCCATTATGTGACCACTGCGCACGTGGCAGTGCTTTAAATGGGACACACATATTTGAACCCAGTGAGTCCTGGTTCCTTTGTATTTAATAATCTTTTTGTTTGTTTGTTTTAGCTTATCTCTCTCATCAATTTTACTTTCAACTCTTTGGTAGCAAGCGTCCCGTTTCCTCTGGTTTCAGTGTCATTTTCTTCCCTGGCCTAGAAGCCTTCCTCCTCAGCCCTTCAAAGGCCCCCAGGCTTCCACTAACAGTCTCATGGACACTTTGGGTTTTCATTCTTACTCTTCTCTACATCTGTTCAGGTTCCACCTAACTCCGGGTTCAAAGGCATCCCCATATTTTTGCTTCTTTTTTAATGGCTGCACCCCATTTTTAATATCAGTAGCTGTGCCAGATATTAATTGCTAATAAGTTATATAATAAACCACCTCAAAACCCAGTGACTCAAAACAGCATTTGGTTGGTTCACAAACCTGCATTTAGACAAGGCTGAGTAGAGCCAGCTTATTTCTTCTCCACTTGGAATCAAGCAGGCCCTAGAATAATCTAAAGCCCTGTTCATGCACATGTCTGGAAGTTGGAGCTAGCTTTGGTTAAGGATATTCGCTGGGGCCATAGGCTGGGATAGCTGTGTGTACACTCACTAGGTGGCCTGGGCTTCACAATGTGGTGGTAGGGTTCTAAGGGTGAGCGTCCCTACAGAGTGAAAGTCAGAATATATTTAGCCTTAGAAATCACACAGCAGTGACCCCACATTCTGTTCCTTAGAAACCAGATGCCGAGGTCAGTACATATTTCAGGGGCAGGAATTTCACAGGGGAAGTGTCAAGGAATTTGTAGAGATGTTTTACAACCACCACCTCTGCCTACCTTGTCTTACCAAATAACCCTCCTATCTGAATGAAAGTGCTTCTTCCCAAGTCAGTGTCACTCAAACCCCAGCAAGTTTTTTTGTTTGTTTTGGCTGAGTATGTTCTCTTGTTTGGTGGAGAGTAACAGGGGATCCCAAGATTTAAGGCTTTTTTGTTTGTTGAGAAAAATGTATGGGTCATCTTACTAAACCACTACACTAGGAGATGGATTTCTCCTTAACCCTGCAAGTCATTCATTGCTCCTTGGAATACAATTCAAACAAGCATAAAATATTTATAGTTCAGAGAAAGGCTTATGGCATTCGAATCCATATTTGCAAGATATATTAATTGCAGTCTTATTTCCAAAGTCTTGTTTTGGGAGGCATTTATTAATTCAGCCCTGAGTAACTCAATTTGATCTCCCTAAAGCTTTAAAAATCATGGAGAGTTAAGACTTGGGGAGGAATTGGTAAGAGACTTTCTACTAAGAGGTGTCTTATAGTCATTTTATGTAGGAAAGACATGAAACAATTACAGAAAAATAAGAGTGTTAAATCAAGTACAAATGTATAACAAAGATGATGACAGTAAA